AAATTTTTCTAAGATTGACTACGTGACAGGGGTAACTGTTACATTTGTCAAGACTCAGTATTGAGTGAAACTTGCAATAAAAAAAAAAGAAACAAAAACAACACTTATTTGGATGATGATAAATTTGCAATTTCGCCAGGAAAAAAGTCAAGGAAAGTTTTTCAGAATATAAATGCCATTCCTTTCGGTACTTCAATTTTAATTCACCGTAAAAAAATTATAATTACTGCTATTCTATGTCTATGCAGTTATATCCGGTTTAATAAACACAGCTGCTTCTGTAGACACCATGAATTCTTTGACAATTTCTGCATTAGTTCACAATGAAGTCAGTGGTATCTTTTAACTACAACAACACGGTATTATACACGCTGTCAGACGATGTGCTAACAACCACAAAGTTAACGGAATGCCAATACTCAACGTATCGAACATGCGTGGACATTGCAAAAGAGAGAAACAATGGCACACACAGACATATGCTCGATTCTTATATGTGTGGGTTCATTTTGCGTCGACGTGTTAAAGTTAAGCAAATGATTTGAATGTCTTCAACGCCATTCTAGACGATATTGTTCACATCTGGCCACCACAGTAGCGGAGGACTTTAAAAGAAGTAAATATGTTTTAATGCAAAAGAACATTTGTTTTAGTGGAAGTGTGAAGTGTTTTAATGGAAGTGTGAAGTGTTTTAATGGAAGTGTGAAGTGTTTTAATGGAAGTGTGAAGTGTTTTAATGGAAGTGTTTTAATGAAACTTTGAAATAATGTATAATGTACAATAATGTTTACGTTGAATTAAATGCTTTTATTCAAAAGGACATTTGTTTTATTGGAAGTGTGAATAACAATACTTTTTGCGGTGAATTAAAATTGAAGTACCTTCAAATAAAATAACTGTTACTGTTATGAGCTTGTAATCAATCTAGTATTAAAATGATCGCTTATGTATATCATTTCATTATTGTTCATAATTTATGTATAAATGTGTGTCATTGTTTTCATTATGTTTTACAGAAATATGTGTCCTCTTTATAATATATATTTGCATGTATGTTTGAATGCATGTAATAAATTATGACATTATTGATTTATGTGTCCATATGTAGGTGAGGGGGCCCATCTTTAGTCTTGCTCCAGCAATTAATAATCCGCTCGGTGGCCCTGGAGTCCATGTGTAGGTGAGGGGGCCCATCTTTAGTCTGCTCCAGCAATTAATAATCCGCTCGGTGGCCCTGGAGTCCAAGTGTAGGTGAGGGGGCCCATATTTAGTCTTGGGCCAGCAATTAATAATCCTCTCGGTGGCCTTGGAAAGCACATATAATTTTAACCGAACTGAGATGAAATCCGGGACAAATTATAAGACATTCCAAACCAGAACGCGATGCCGGGACAATGGATCCGTGTCAAACCGGGACGATCCGTGTGAAACCGGGACAAGTGGTGAGCCAAATTATAACAGTCTTGATTAGGTTGCTGTTACATCTGTGTGGTTAAATCTCGTCATAATGTTGTACCAACTGTTACTGAACCGATGTCCTCACATTGTTCTGGCAAATGTGTATTTCAGAGACTTATTTCAACTTAATTAACACCCAGAGCAAGTCATGCGTGTCTATACTCCTGTTAACTTCATTAGCACTCTGAGTAAGTCATGTGTGTCTATACTCCTGTTAATTTCATTAGCACTCTGAGTAGGTCATGTGTGTCTATACTCCTGTTAACTTCATTAGCACACTGAGTAAGTCATGTGTGTCTATACTCCTGTTAATTTCATTAACACCCAGAGCAAGTCATGCGTGTCTATACCCCTGCTATGCACCGCTGCTGATGTCAGTCACGCATAACGCCAGGTACAGTCGCCCACAACTCCAGTTCCCCATCGTAATACTTGGTGTGGAGATTGAAGAGTGCTACGTGACGTCACCACCGTGCACACGAGACAGACCAGGACACACCCATATAAATAGCAAGACACATCACACAAACACTGTGTTTTTTAAAAAAATAAACGATATGGATTACGTCCCTACTTGGAATGTTTCCTCATTCCCATAAAAAAGGGGACTGTCTTTGTCTCTGCTTGCATTCAAACCTGCTTAGTCTGACAATACTACACGAAAACAAACACAGTAAAGTACATTACAAATACACAATAACATTCTTTATAATTGTGTAGAAGCGTAGATCAGCACTCTATAAAGCCAGAGGTTTCGCATTAAATGTGGGCGAAAATTAAATATGTTTTAGTTTTATTAATTTTTCGGAAAAAAAATCTGCACATGCTTTCTTTGCTGTAATGAACTTGTTAATTATTGTCTACTTTTCAGTGCGTTTTGACTCGTCTTGGATAGAAAGTCTCTCTTTTTTTTTTTTAATAAATAAGTTTTAAATATAGCTATTTTTATTTTATTATTTTTAGTATCGAAATTGTTATCTTTAAATTATCGATTAAAAGTAGAGTCATTTACGTTTTTTTTTTTTTTTTTTTTTTTTTTTTTATTTTTTTTTTTTTTTTTTTTTTTTTTTTTTTTTTTTTTTTATTTTTTTTTTTAATTTTGGTTTTTTTTGTTTTTTTTTTTTTTTTTTTTTTGTTTAAATCGAATTCTTTAAAAATCTCGGTTAAAGTGACTTAAGTCTTAAGCTTAGGCGGAAAAATTTTAAAAGGAAAAGGAAATCTGAGCTCTCCTACCAACCCACACACTCATCCGCGAAGAAAACCACTATAATTTGAGCGACAGTGTCAACCCACCTCCGTCGACCAAGGAGTAGACGCGATGTTGACACAACTCAGCTGCAACGAGACGATCAACTGAGCGAAAAGGTCGCGTGTGTAAACAAAAAAAAATAACGCTCCGTCCCCTTGTCCACAAGATACAGTCTTTAAAAAAATATGATTTTGAAAATCAACGTATTTGTAGCTAATATCATTTTCCCTTAAATGCGTACATACTGTACACACTCATATCTAGAATACGGTAGTATATCAATAGCATCGTCATATTAGAGATGTAGCTGACCTTCATATGTGTGCCGAAAGTGAGCCTGCCTACATATGTACACCTTAAGATAAGCTGACCTACATGCGTGTGCCGATACTGAGCCTACCTACATGTGTACGCCGATAATTAGCTGACCTACATATATACGCCGATTGTGAGCTGACCTGTACATGTACGCCGATTGTGAGCTGGCCTGTACATGTACGCCGATTGTGAGCTGACCTGTACATGTACGCCGATTGTGAGCTGACCTGTACATGTACGCCGATTGTGAGCTGACCTGTACATGTACGCCGATTGTGAGCTGACATGTACATGTACGCCGATTGTGAGCTGACCTGTACATGTACGCCGATTGTGAGCTGACCTGTACATGTACGCCGATTGTGAGCTGACCTGTACATGTACGCCGATTGTGAGCTGACCTACATTTGCACGCTGATAGTAAAGTAGCTTTTATTTCAGAAATACAAGAGTAACACTTAAGAGATTGTATGTCAATTTATTTAAAAATTATACAACAAATTACACATGTATATTTCATTATTTAAAGAATCAAAAACATTTTGCTTAAAAAATATAGCCTTAAAAATCTCAAAATCAATCCGACTGTCTCATAAATCGTCTTCAGATTTTATAATTTTAAATATGTCTCATCTTTAAGCATTTCTTTCAGTCAGAGATTCGAATCTTCAGTCAATCTTCTCAAAATAAAGCTCAACCATGAATTGACAAAGTAAAAGTTTCTATTGATTTTTTAAATGTCCAGTTCGTGACCAATTACGGTATCAAAATATAAAATGTTATGCATTTACCTCAGTAACTTGCTCATAATTTACATATTATAAAGTCACACTGAACATGGACAAAGCTTGACGAATGGGACAAAATTGGGGAATGGGGGCAAATTCGGCGAATGGGGGCAACGTTGGTGAATGGGGCAAAGTTGGTGAATCAAAGTGGGCAAATGGGACAAAAGGGGCAAATGGGGTAAAGTTGGCGAATGGAGCAAAGTTGGCGAATGGGGCAAAGTGAGCGAATGGGGCAAAGCTGGCGAATGGGGCAAAGTTGGTGAGAGGGACAAAGTGGGCTAATAGGGCAAAATTGGCGAATGGGACGTAAGCCCCCTGCACCTAAAACTAGGGTTGCCAAAATTGTCAGTATTTATGCAAAATATACATATATAATATATGATATAAATATAAACGTGTTTCGGAAGGGAAAAAAAGGGGGGGTGGGTGTAGCGCTAAACTAGAATCTGTCATGGGTGCAACTTTTCATTTGCAATGCAATGTTTACATTCATGGCTAGTGACAGTTAAACATTGTTGACCATCAGAGTGCCTTAATCATGTATGCATTGAAACATTCCGTGCTTTCTTGTAACATTCAGTGTTGTAATCATAACATTATGGCTTACGTACTTGTAACATTCAGTGTTGTAATGATAACATTATGGCTTACGTACTTGTAGCATTCAGTGTTGTAATCATAACATTATGGCTTACGTACTTGTAACATTCAGTGTTGTAATCATAACACTATGGCTTACATACTTGTAATATTCAGTGTTGTAATCATAACATTATGGCTTACGTACTTGTAACATTCAGTGTTGTAATGATAACATTATGGCTTACATACTTGTAACATTCAGTGTTGTAATCATAACATTATGGCTTACGTACTTGTAACATTCAGTGTTGTAATCATAACATTATGGCTTACGTACTTGTAGCATTCAGTGTTGTAATCATAACATTATGGCTTACGTACTTGTAACATTCAGTGTTGTAATCATAACACTATGGCTTACATACTTGTAATATTCAGTGTTGTAATCATAACATTATGGCTTACGTACTTGTAACATTCAGTGTTGTAATGATAACATTATGGCTTACATACTTGTAACATTCAGTGTTGTAATCATAACATTATGGCTTACGTACTTGTAACATTCAGTGTTGTAATCATAACATTATGGCTTACATACTTGTAACATTCAGTGTTGTAATCATAACATTATGGCTTACATACTTGTAACATTCAGTGTTGTAATCATAACATTATGGCTTACATACTTGTAACATTCAGTGTTGTAATTATTATTAGTAGTAGAGATGGTTAATATAGTGCGGTACACCAGCCTAGGACTGGGCTCCCCACGCTGTACATACAATTCAACAAACATAATCATGAACTTAAAAATCAACATACATTAAGTACATAAAACAAAAAAAATGGATATTCACTCCAGACATTCGGGGCAAATATGATTTATAGTTCATGCATCTTCACTTTAAAAAAAAGAAGAAATCTTAAAAAAGCTTTCAGCCATCCAATCGAGTGAGTTAAAAAAAAAAAAATTCAAATTATTAATGAACACCTTCCACTGGTCTAGTCAACGCAACTCTTATATCTTAACATCAACTTGAAATCTCTTGCAACGTGCTATCACAGTTTATCTTCCATAGAAGGTGCGACCTGGCCTCACGACTCTAGGGGGACCAGGCTGACAGTAACCCTGGACACATCTGAGGAAAAGAAAAATCAAAATTAAAAAAAAATAATAATAATAATTGAATTGCATTTATGTAATCATTCTGTAATTTGTTTTATATTTATGTAATTACTTTCGTTAAAACTTAGTGCACCAACAATACGACATATTACCCTATGTAAGGTAAAGGAATTCTCAATTTCGGCAACCAATCGCTCTATGAAACAGTTTATTCTAACCATTTTGAAAAAAAAATATGCTCCCGCAAACATTAGAAACTAATTCTGTACAATCTCATCCATATTTTACTTCTGGTGTGTCCTGCTTCCTTTTTCGAAACCGCCCCCCCCCCCGCCCCCAAACTCTACGTTATACATTAATAGCACTAAGTTGGGGGGGGGGGAGGAAGGATGTCTATTTTTAAAAAAAAATATGCTCCCGCAAACATTAGAAACTAATTCTGTTCAATCTCCTCCATTTTTTACTTCTGGTGTGTCCCGCTTCCTTTTTCGAAACCGCCCCCCCCCCCGCCCCCAAACTCTACGTTATACATTAATAGCACTAAGTTGGGGGGGGGGGAGGAAGGATGTCACGCGCGACGTGTGAACTCGGGTTATTTGTTATTCTTTAGATGAAGACGACTATTATAGTAATCATAAAGAACCACGATTATGGCGTAGGACTGTCTGTAGGACTATTGCTTGAATAAAACGCCAGCAGGTAGGATTTAAGATTTTCGGGTGGGCAATACCAGTGCCCAGAGGCGTTGCTAAAGGACGCAGAGGGTTACATACTAGTGGGGGCTCCAAGATAAGCATATACGGCATTTAATGGATGAAAATAATTGAAAAAAATGGGTGGGGGCGTAATAAAAGTATCTTGTCCCCTCGCGCAAAACACCCTGACTGCGCCCCTGCCAGCGACGTGAACAAAAAGGGGTGGGGGTGGATGGTGTTGTCTGACTAGGTGTTGAAAAAAAATAATTTTTTTTTAGCTTTATACTGGATTCTCGTCTAGAAAACATAAATTTAAACAAAAAATGCGGGGAAACAGATGGAGCAAATTGTTTATTATTTTGATATAAAAGAGAAAAGCAGTTGGGAATGTAATAAAAATAGGCCAGTTGGGAATTTAATAAAAATAGGTCAGTTGGGATTTTAATAACAAATAGGTCAGTTGGGATTTTAATAAAAAATAGGTCAGTTGGGAATTTAATAACAAATAGGTCAGTTGGGAATTTAATAAAAATAGGTCAGTTGGGAATTTAATAACAAATAGGTCAGTTGGGAATTTAATAACAAATAGGTCAGTTGGGAATTTAATAACAAATAGGTCAGTTGGGAATTTAATAACAAATAGGTCAGTTGGGAATTTAATAAAAATAGGTCAAGCTTTTTTTTATTTAATGCTCTGTTATTAAAAAAAACCTGGGTTTAGTAAAATGTAGCACATTTAAAGAAAACACAACGGCTTTTGATTTTAATACATTTTTGATGAAACGTTAACAGTGTGCACCCGTTAAATTCTTAAAATATATGCAAATATATGTATATATATATATTTCATTTCAATTTGTTTACATTTTCATTTGATCGATCTCAACACACAAAGAATCGAAAAATGATACCGTATTTAAAACGAGATTTTTGTTAAGCATGATACCATCATACAATTTGTGATTAACACATATCCTAACTTAGAAAGATAGGCTTTTGTGATGAAATATCATTTGAAAATAGATTGCACATGTTTGATACTTGGCAGGAACTATATTAAAATTGTAGACCTTTATAGTGATGTAAAGTAATTTTAATTACAGTGTTAATAAAAATCTTTAAACCTGTGAATAAATAATAATACCGCTATGTGCGAAGATCAGGAAGTAGGACTTCGGCTTATAATCAGGAGTGGCCAGTTCGATATTAACCATCGAATACTGTAAGCCTTCAACAAGATTAGCCTTAAATATGCGGATGATCACATATATCCAGCGGGACGATATTTCATAGATTTCACTAACTGTAAACGGTTCAAGGCACTAGATAGCCTGCTGATCGTTTGTTTTACAAATGGAGTGACTATAAAAGTGTATACCAGACCTGGTTAACACCAGCCACTAGATTATTGTTGAATTGTGTTTAAAATATAACAAGAAATAAGCTGTGCACCACATACACTTTGATTTTAAATAGTATGTGTTCACGAGAACAGTTATGTGGGATTAAATGAACTGGGATGTATGCATCAATCACATGAAGGGAGCAAAAAAAAATTAAGACGGGGGGGGGGGGGCTCTAGCCACAGCCAAGAAATGGAAACATAGCTGTTTGAAAACCAGGCGGGGATAAACATGGTGATAAACATGGGGCTCGTGATCCCGGGTCCGTAGACCTCGAAGCAGATGGGGGGGGGGCCTTGGACACGCTGTCCACCTTGTCATATTATTGTTCGTCCGTCGAGGATCAACGAGGACCATCGAGTCGTCCCGTGACTGATGACTTTCACGGACGACTTTTGTTTACAGTGAGAGGGTTGCGCGGCGTCAGCCTCACTCTCTCGTCCGGGCCCACCGTGTCCAGTGGCAAGACTCTACGTCAAGACGTTGTCATATAAATATCCGGTCTATCACATGAGGTTTATAATTAATGTGTATAAAATAAATGCAAATTTTTAATGAGGTTAAACACCATTGTGGGGAGTGCCCCCCATAAATACCTCTTAGAGACGTTGTCGAAATACTGCCCTTCTGGACACATCCTGAGGAAGTAACGGCCGTACGTACAGATGCCGTACGCCCGACATGTGTCCTGGCACAGATGCTTCTCGTTGTACATGCTGCACTGGCGGTACTGGCTGACGCACGGGACACTCAGTGTGCAGTCATTGGTCACCTTGCAGCCTGCAATAAACAATAGGTGGTTACCTGGCAACGCTGAAATAAACAATGGTTGTTAACCTAGCAGCCTGAACGGTAACCTAGCATCCTGAATTAAACAATGGTTGGTAAACTAGCAACCCGAAATAAACAATGAATGGTAACCTAGCAACCCAAAATAAACAATGATTGGTAACCTAGCAACCTGAATTTAAAAAAAAATAATTGATAACCTGGCAATAGTTGCATTACACAATTATTAAGAAAATAACATATTTTAGCTATACAAGTCAGGGATCAATAGATCGAATTTCATATTAACTTTAAATAAATGGTTCTCTAGGTCCTTGAACTACCATGGCCCTCAGACCGCTAAGTCCTCTCCTCTGGGTCCTCTAGGTCTTCCAGTTCCTATAAGTCTTCTAGGTTCTCTAGGTCCTCTAAGTCCTCTAGATCCTCTAAGTTCTCTATGGTCCTCTAAGTCATCTAGGTCCTCTAGATGACTTAAAGTCATCTATGGTCCTCTAAGTCATCTAGGTCCTCTAGGTTTTCTAGGTCCTCTAAGTCCTCTAGGTCCTCTAGGTGCTCGCGTGATTAAGCGCAACTCCTCAACTTAGAATTAGCTCTGATGCTTAACCTAATACATGTATTTCTGTCTTTTAAACAATTATAATGCAATTAGCGGCTTTTGTTTAATGTGTATCAAAATAACCTAAACGAAACAGGTAAGAGGATATATACTAAGTGGCACTCACCTGAAGGAGACGCTGGGACTGTTGGGGGAAGTGTGGGTGCTGGTGTGGGAATGGGGACTTGGGTGGGCTCGGCATACGGGAAGCTTTGGTGGTAGTCGCAGTAGAACGTGATGTAGAAGTTGTCCGTCTTAAACCTTGGACAGTCGCTGTTGAACTCGTAGTCGAAGACGCTCATGACGGCTGGGGGATAGACAGGGGTCAGGTGGGTTAGCTTTCGGGACCCAAAAATTCTAAACAGTTCTAGAGAATGTGGGGTGGGATTTCTGAATATGTACAGGTCAAATATTTTAATCCAAAGTAACAACCTGCACATTGCTTTTGTCTTAGTCGAAATAACAAATAACCCGTGATATTTAGACGAAAGATGGTTTAGTGAGTTTAGACGGTAGATGGTTTAGTGAGTTTAGACGGTGAATGGTGTAGTTAGTTTAGACAGTAGATGGTGTAGTTAGTTTAGACAGTAGATGGTGTAGAGAGTTGAGGCGGTAAATGGTGTTATGAGTTTAGACGGTAGATGGTTTAGTGAGTTTAGACAGTAGATGGTGTAGTAAGTTTAGACAGTAGATGGTGTTGTGAGTTTAGACAGTCGATGGTGTAGTGAGTTTAGATGGCAAATGATGTAGTGAGTGTCATGAAACTGACTACATTGTGGCTGTCCTCTTTTCAACAAACAGATTTGGTAGGCTTGTCATTTACGATATTTCTGAATGAATTTATTCGACTTAGCATTAAAGATGTTTCTAAATGAATTTTTTCGACGTAACATTTGCGATGGTTGTGCATGAATTTGTTAGACTTAGCATTTGCGATATTTGCGAATGAATTTGAAAATTGGAAATATGACAAATTTTAAATAGTCATCATGATTTCGCTGCACGATGCGAGACATGATTATTCCTATATGAGGATGACCAGAGCTAGAGTTAAGATAGCAGTTAGTGAATGTCCCACCATCGTCGTAGTTGGTGCCGTACATCAGTGGAGCTTCTGTGTCGACGGAGACGGCTCCGCTGCAATCTTTGTATTCTTTCGTCACGGGATCTTTACACGCTGCGTGGCACACACGGCCACACGCGTCGTGAGCACGCAGCAGAGCGTGGCTGGATCCGCCTGGAAAGTATCAAAGAGGAGTTGTTACTGATGTAACTAAGTGGAAAGAAATGTCGAAGAAAAAAAAGAATGTGTTATGTGGTAAGAAATAAAAGTTTGGGATGGATGCTATTCATTGACATCGCCCAGCAAATGGACAGGCACTTTTATAAGTGGAGTGGGGGGGGGGGCTTTAAAAAGACTGATCCCCCACCCCCACCCCCTTTCTCTGACCGCTAAAAGATGCTGCTGGGTAGCCGTGCATGGCTTGACGTGGAAATAGTTCTTGAATGTGTGGAGTGAACATACATTTAAAAAAAAAAACTTTATTAATGTATGTTAATTTTTAAGTTCATGATTATATTTGTTTAATTATTGGTGCAGCGTGGTGAGCCCGGCCCTAGGCTGGGGTGTCGGGCTAGATAAAACCAACACTGATCATAATACATTAAATACAGCTCTGATAAATATAATGGAAACAACTCTACGCCAGAGCCCGGGGCTGACAAACAGGGGGGCGGGGGGGGGGGCGAGGATAGACGACCCCCCCCCTTCCGCCCGACCAGGGCTGCTCTCACCTGGAGCTGGATTCTTGACCCCAATAAATCCCATGGAGATGGATACAGCGAGCCTCTGGTCAACAATGGCGGACTCCTTGTAGTAGCCCTGGTAGTTAAGTCCATTCGAGGTCAGGAAGACCTGACCGATGGCGCTGTCCTCTGCGCAGCGTTTGTAAGTCTTCGGGTTACTCTGACGACTGGTGATGTATCTGAGGAGGTCAAAGGTCAATGGTGAGCTGACGTTCTTAAAGCGAGACTCCAACCGTCTTTTTCATTTTTTTTTCCCATGTGGCTTAAAGTTAGAATAGTGTCTGATTATTACATGAGTGGTGTATCTGATAGGTGCTTTCTTGGTGTATGTGATAGGTGTTTAAACTTATTGATCTAAATAAATAGGAACAGTGAGTGAACTTATGAAATTCACTAATGCGTTCGGCAGATCTCCAATTGGGTTAAAGATAATGATGCCAGGTTTGGTGCTCTAAACGTGCTCTATCTGATATGATGTCACTTTTCTTGTGTGGCATTTTTCGAATGAAACTTCCTTTATTTTCTCGTTGGACTTTCAAAGCATCAACATCTACCTTGACATTGGCAGAAAGTTGATTTGGCTTCTAATTGTTAAACCCTGGCATAACTTTAAATCTGTACACCCTGCGCCCGCTTTCTTAGCTCAGTGGTTCTCAATCTTCCTAATGCGCGACTCCCCAACCACAAAATATTTTCGGTGCTACTTCATAGCAGTAGAATGTATGTGTTTTCTGATGGTCTTAGGCGACCCCCGTGAAAGGGGCGTTCGACCCCCCCAAAGGGCTCGCGACCCACACGTTGAGAACCGCTGTCTTAGATTAAAGCATGTGATTCCATCAAATCCGGAAGCACTCGCTATTCGGTACCTAATCAAAATCACCCCCCCTCCCCCCCCCAAAAAAAAAAATCAGCTGGTGCGCTCTGCTTTAAATTTCAACCCACTTTTTGGTCTGAGTATAAGCGTTGGGCGCGTAGATGTCCTCGTTCGGGTTGACGCGACCGTTGTTGACGGGGTAGCTGCTGTACTTGCTGAACTTTGGCGGCCGGACGCTGATGATCTTCACCGGGATCATGGCCCACTGGTTGGTGTCGCAGGTCTTGTCGCAGCAGTAGTCGTTCTGGACGGGGAGGCCGTACTGGTAGTTTTTGCACGTGCCGCTGGCGTTGCTGGCGTTGGGGCGCGGGGGTGGGGTGATCAGCGGGCTCATCGTCGTCGTGGCCACGGGAACTGGAGTCGTTGGGACGTTGTCGCTCCGTCTGGTCGGGATACAACGTCCGGAAGCCAGCTGACACGTCAGGTGCCTGTGGGGAATAAATCCTTTAAAATTTTGCACACACGAAGTTCTGGGTGATTGGCAGAAGTCAGGGTCGTATCAAATTAAATTGAATTTTGTAATGAAAATTTTAAAGAAATAAATTAATGCAAATAGGTCGTTCATGTTAAATGACAGGAAAATATATCTGATGAAAATAAACATCATAACAATTGTTTATTGTGGGTTGTTGTTGTTGTTTTTTTTTGTTGTTGTTTTTTTTTTGGTATAATTTGTTGTGAGAGTCAGAGAGGTGCACGCACTGGGACTGTTAGCGGTGAAGTCAGGTATATTTTACCTGGAACCACAATCAGGTGTACGCGTTGAGCAGATGGGAGCCGGCTCGTACTGGAAGGATTCGGTCAAGGCGTCCAGGTAGCCGTCTGCTTGTGTCAGGTCCCCAAAACCTGTAGGAGCGGAGCCAATGTGACGGGGGTCGGGGTCCTGGGGAAACATCCATGTACGCGGTCGTAAGTGTACGGGAACATTGTACAGGAACATTGTACAGAAAAATTGTACAAAAACATTGCTTTACATAAAAATTGGACAACATAAACATTAGGTGACAAACATTTGAAAAAATAAACATTAGGTGACAAAAACATTTGAACACATAAACATTAGGTGACAAACATTTGAAAACATAAACATTAGGTAACATAAACATTTGAAAAAATAAACATTAGGTGACATAAACATTTGAACACATAAACATTAGGTGACAAACATTTGAAAACATAAACATTAGGTGACATAGACATTTGAAAACATGAACATTTGGTGACATAAACATTTGAACACATAAACATTAGGTGACATAAACATTAGGTGACATAAACATTTGAACACATAAACATTAGGTGAAAAAAACATTTGAAAACATAAACATTAGGTGACATAAACATTTGAAAACATAAACGTTATGTCACATAAACATTTGAATACATGAACATTAGGAGACATAAACATTTGAAAACATAAAAATTATGTAACATAAACATTTGAACACATGAACATTTGAATACATGTACAGGCCCACACTAAATTTTAACTTTGATTCATAATCATATAATTTGTTTAATCTTTGGCGGGAGGTTGCCTGGAAAAGAGGGGGGGGGGGGCTTAAAAAAGATGAGTAGACCTGGCCTGTGTCGATCTCTAAAACACCCCGAAATAGGGTAGCACGATGCCACCGCCCCGGTGTCTTTCTAAGATTCTATACTTTAAAAGAATAATTTATTTTGAATACATGTAGAGGCCCACACTAAATTTTAAATTTGATTCATAATAATATAATTTGTTTAATCTTTGGGGGGAGGGTGCCTGGAAAAGAGGGGGGGGGGGGCTTAAAAAAGATGAGTAGACCTGGCCTGTGTCGATCTCTAAAACACCCCGAAATAGGGTAGCACGATGCCACCGTCCCGGTGTCTTTCTAAGATTCTATACTTTAAAAGAATAATTTAATGATGTGTCTGTGCATTTCGTATCACACTTTTCATTCCTATGACGTCATCACCACATAATTTTTGGGGTGATTTTCATTAAAAACCGGATACTCACAATGTCTTAGTTCGCCTACAGCCAACCCTTCTACAGGACTTACCACGATTACAGGGTACAGCTGGGGATCTGCCCCCAGGGATCTGAGGTTCGTCCTGAACAGCTCCCAGATGTAATCAACGAACGCGTGGTGCATGAAAAATATGGGGTCGAAGGCAGCGGTGTCCAGCTGGCTCATCGCTCCACCGACAAACACATGCACGGCCGCGTGGTGGAACTCCAGGTCGTACCGTGGATCGGCCTCCACAGAAGTGATGATGTCCTCGTGTCTGCGACAGAAAGACGAGACGTACAGAAACCACGAGAACGTTATGCGATGGGCTTGCCACACACAGACAGACAGACACACACACAAACTAGCCTGATTGTAACATGAAGTACAGTAGATCAGGACAGAAATGAAGCCATTATCACATCCTGTCTGGTACCTGCTGCTTGGAACCCCCACCCCTACCCACCCCAACGCCCAACGCAATCTTCAGAAACTCTAAGAACTAAAAATCGTAGTATTTAATATCAACACTCTGAGCTGTACACTATCTGAGGCTTCAGCTTTCCTAGATTCGACCGTGTTGTTGATTTCGGGTACGGTAACCTAATGGAACTTTTACTCGGACAAATCGTTCCAATTTTGTAACATGCACATTTTTTGTTTCATGACAGGATTTTGTTGTGTCAAATTAAAAATACGTCGAATATTTCAATGAATATTTCATTTTACTTAAATAACATTTTTACTGCATACAAACAAGGAGACGTCATCCATTCTCAATATAAGAGCCATGATGGTTACACTAAATGACTTATAGCCCTAGGCAGCCATGATGGTTACATTAAATGACTTTTAAGCTAGGACAGCCATGATTGTTAAATTAAATGACTTATAGCCCTAGGTAGCCATGATTGTTACATTAAATGACTTTATAGCCCTGGTAGCCATGATTGTTACATTAAAGGAAGTTATAGCCCTGGTAGCCATGATTGTTACATTAAATGACTTATAGCCCTGGTAGCCATGATGGTTACATTAAATGACTTATAGCCCTAGGTAGCCATGATGGTTACATTAAATGACTTATAGCCCTAGGTAGCCATGATGGTTATATTAAATGACTTTTAAGCTAGGACAGCCATGATTGTTATATTAAATGACTTATAGCCCTAGGTAGTCATGATTGTTACATTAAATGACTTTATAGCCTAGGTAGCCATGATTGTTACATCAAATGAAGTTATAGCCCTTGTAGCCATGATTGTTACATTAAATGACTTTATAGCCCTGATGGCCATATATTTAATACAACTTTGATCAAGCTATGCATGGGTTTGATTCCCTTCAGATATATATTGTTGAACATCCCTCATAATGTGTCTTATTTGAATCATGTCAATTAACATCGGTTTATACGGATGTCATGTCAATTGACATCGGGTTATGGGGATGTCATGTCAATTAACATCAGTTTATAGGGATGTATCAAGGAAGTACCTGGTACGAGACAGGATCTCCTCAATGGCGCTTGACCTGAACAACTCTCCGTCAGAGCCGCCATTTCTGATCAGCTGGACACCTTCAGGCGTTGTCCAGTTAGCGAATGGACCTTCAACGACCGTACCTTGGAGGGAGCCGAAGAACTCAGAGTTCCAGACGGAGGAGTCGATGGGGTTTGGGAGCTGGTTGTCAATGCTGGAGTCCCAGTAGGGCAGACACACGGTGGGGTCAACTTCTCTCAAGGCTGTCTCGAAACTAGGTCAACGGAGGAGGGGAATAAATCAGATCAGGCGTTCGTTTATGTGAATAAATGAGGTGAATAAATGAGGTGAATAAATGAAGTAAATAAATAATGTGAACTAATCAAATAAATTTATGTCATTGATTTAATTAAATCAGTTGAGATTCAGCTGATTTTTTTTTAAAGGTGTTTTGAAGTAACCAGTGGGTTATAACTTAGAAATGAAAGTATAGAGTAGCGGTACTCACATGAGCAGATAGATTCTATGCCAGCCCAGAAATCCTGCCCCACCGTGGGCAATGAATGCCGCCATGCCGCCGTGAAGTAGGGCAATGGCGTCATATTTGTTGGGCTCAACCGTCTGGAGATAGCAAGGCAATGGATTAGTACGGACAAACAAGTGTGATGTAGGCCATGGCGTACACATTGATATGGAAGTCTAGGCCATGGAGTAAATATGATATGCAAGGCTAGGCAATGGTGTAAACATTGATATGGAAGTCTAAGCCATGGTATAAACATTGATATGGAAGTCTAAGCCATGGTGTAAACATTGAAAGGGAAGTCAAGGCCATGGGGGAACCATTGATATGGAAGTCTGACCATGGTGTAAACATTGATAGTGAAGTCTAAGCCATGGTGTAAACATTGATACGTAAGTCTAGGCCATGGTGTAAACATTGATATGGAAGTCTAAGCCATGGCGTAAACATTGATATGGAAGTCTAAGCCATGGTGTAAAAATGATTTTAAAAATAAATAAACAAATCAATTATTTTCTACAGAACCTCAAATTATGAAAATAATCGACATCTCTGGTAACCCATGGTAACCCATCAGTGTACAGAAAGCAATCTATCGCTTAGTCTGATCATGGTAGTCGAGAAGAACTCCTAGGTAGATCGTGCTTCGCATGCAAAGATGACAAAGGCTTCGACAGCCTTGAATTGAGCCGTAATGTTTTTAAGTGAGGGACAATTGCTCATCCGTCAGCCTCTCTCTCTCGTCTTAGCCTATTTATGCCAATGGTAAACAGCGCAGGGGTTTTCGGAATTTTAAATGTGGCAATGTCATAATGTCTAGGGTTTTCAGTCTCAGCGTTTGCCTCCTCTTAGATGAGTCGCCATCCAAACTTGACAGTTCCATTCCCCCCGGGGTGATGGTGCTGATTTTGTTTGCTAAGGCTGTGTATTGTGTATTAGTCTCCAGGCCACAAGCCTGCGAATGACTTAATTTAAACAGCTTGCCCTCCCAGCACCACAGGAGTAACTCATAAATGTGATATCGTCTTACCGTGTTCTGGTTGACTGTGTCCCTGACACTAAATGTGACATTTTACACTGTGTCCTCTTTGACTGTGTCTCTGACACTTATGGGGACATTGTCTTACTCTGTCCTGTTCGAGCGTGTCTCTGTCCCTGAATGTGACATTTTCTTACCGTACCCTGTTCGAGTCTGTCACTAAATGTGACATTTTCTGACTGTGTCCTCTTTGACTGTGTCTCTGACACTTATGGGGGCATTGTCTTACTGTGTCCTTTTCGAGCGTGTCTCTGTCCTTAAATGTGACATTTTCTTACCGTGCCCTCTTCGAGTCTGTCACTGACACTAAATGTGACATTTTCTGACTGTGTCCTCTTTGACTGTGTCTCTGACACTAAATGGGACATCGTCTTACTGTGTCCTGTTCGAGTGTGTCTATGACACTCGATGGGACACTGTCTTACCGTGTCTTGTTTGAGTGTGTTGACGGCATTGTGGAAGCGGGTCCTCTCATCATCTGTCAGCATCCTGTACTCTTTTCTCAGGCATCTTTGAACAGTTGCTTGGCGCTTGACTCGAGCTCTCCCCCCAACACTTGGCGAGACTTCCAGATATTTCTGGTACAGGTGAGTGTAATACCTGCAAGCGTTTCAAAGAAAAACTTTGTCAGTCAATTATGCACTTGCTTTTTAAAAATAATAGTTACTTAATATGTCATCACTGAAGTGAAACCTGTTAGTGACAGGTGGTTAGTGACAGGTGGTTAGTGACAGGTGGTTAGTGACAGGTGGTTAGTGACAGGTGGTTAGTGACAGGTGGTTAGTGACAGGTGGTTAGTGACAGGTGGTTAGTGACAGGTGGTTAGTGACATGTGGTTAGTGACAGGTGGTTAGTGACAGGTGGTTAGTGACAGGTGGTTAGTGACAGGTGGTAGGCATTAGAAAAAAAATCCCACCGCCAATAACCAGTTTCTATTTCAGGAATCAAATTAAATATGTCATAATTTAAAATAACAACATATTATATTAAATTTTCTTCGTAAAAAAAGGTAATTTATAAATGTATCGAGGTCACGGGTCATTGGGCTTCTACACAAAAGCGTCAAGACAAACACACACACACACACAAATAATTTATGACCCTATGACATAAGAAATCAAATAATGACTGATCACGCCATTGTACCCGGTCTTCTGGGCGTCGAACTGCGGCGGGTCAACGGTGCGTGCCTTCACCAGGGAATTCTCACACATCCAGCTGTAGGTGCTCCCGACGAAGGTCTGTATGTCTGCCTTCTGCACGCGGTTGTAGCAGTCTTGCAGGGGCTTGGGGATGGGGATCTCCGAAATCTTTGACGATCCGAACTCCAGGAAAATTGTCAAAACAACCCCAACGGCTGGTAGGTAAAGCTTCATGTTTTAGACCTGGCCTCTGCGAACAAAGCAAAGTGGTTCATACGTTGGAATTGTGTAAAGAATGTCACCATTTGTCAAACGAATATTAGATCTAATCTTTTTTTAAAATTTTAATTTTAATTTTTTTTATTTAAAAAAAAACAGTAAGTGAACAACTCATAAATGTATACACCGTCTCAATTAAAAATGAATAATTGTAAAAGTGAAACATAACTATAAATGTATTTGCTTTCATTGAATCACATGAGCACTTAGTGTAACAATGACTCGATCTACTTACTTTTTGGTTACACTTGAAAATAAATCAGCTATATTTCCAGATGGTCTAAAAAAAAAGGTCTAATAACCTGCTTTGAAAATGATCTCCCTAATTTTTATAATAATTGTTCCGTTTCTCTACCACCTCTCTAAGCTTGTTGACTTTGTCCTGGCTTTTATATATGTTTTTTTAACACGGTGGAAACGGAACAACTCAATGGCTAACCAATCATCTCCAGCTGACTGACGGGCTTCGGGTCATGTTGATGGATGGTCGTGTCTCCCGAACTTCGCAATACCATAAAAACCTCTCATGTTTTAACTGGGTTGAAGACGTCATCATTCAGCATTTCGCCTACTCTCTAAACCAGGGGGTCTGCAAAAACGTGTTGGGTCGTTGACCCTGCCCCCCCCCCCCCCCCCCCCCCCCCCCCCCCCCCCCCCCACCCCCCCCCCCCCCCCAACCTTGACTCCGACAACGACCTAGTAACCCGGCGTCAACAAATCAAATCTATTTTTTTTAAATAAATACGAATAATCTCTCTCTCATCTTTCTGATCAACACAACAACAGAGACCCGCAAATAATTGCCCCAAGAGTCGGAGTATAGCAGTTTGAAGACCACTACCCTACGGGTTCGCGCTTGACAGTTTGAAGATCTCTGGTCTCGACGACAGAACACGCCAATCAAACTCCATGTACAGTCCGAACTAAGGTAAGATTTCATATAAATAAACTGTCCGTCCCGTGCAGTCTTGACTTCCGCATCAGGTTGTCACCTTCACCTTGCACTTGGAAAGTTTTGGAGAACCAAGGGGTCCTCATCCTCTTACGGGAAGTCTCGCTGACTGGCGTTTTTATAAATAAAAAAAATATATATATATATTTTCTACAACGGAAGCAGTCAGGATTATTGAAAATCTTGTTACTTACTAAGACTAATGACTAGAATTATGATACCAGAGCCTTCGCGGCGGAACCTGCAACCACTGCGGTTGTAGGTGGCCTCAGATATTTCATGGGTCAAAAGTTAAGATGTGGAAAATTCCCCCACCCCCCACACAAACACTCTGCCCCTAAAAATCACCAATAAACAAACAAAAGAAAACGAAACAATTTATTCCGTTGTATAAAAATATGTTGAGCCTGACCTGTTGACTCTCACCTGTTGACCCTGACCTGTTGACTCTCACCTGTTGACCCTGACCTGTTGACACTCACCTGTTGACCCTGACCTGTTGACACTCACCTGTTGACCCTGACCTGTTGACATTCACCTGTTGACCCTGACCTGTTGACTCTCACCTGTTGAGCCTGCACTGTTGACTCTCATCTGTTGACCCTGACCTGTTAACTCTCACCTGTTGACCTTCGTGAATGTTGTTTAGCGTTGCTCTAAACTAAATTGTGGCTTCTCAACAGATCCTTGGAGTATAAAAATAGAGACCCATAACAGATCATGCAAGTATAACAATAGAGACCCATAACAGATCATGCAAGTATAACAATAGAGACCCATAACAGATCATACAAGTATAACAATAGAGACCCATAACAGATCATGCAAAGTATAACAATAGAGACCCATAACAGATCCTGCAAGTATAACAATAGAGACCCATAACAGATCATGCAAGTATAACAATAGAGACTCATAACAGATCATACAAGTATAACAATAGAGACCCATAACAGATCCTGCAAGTATAACAATAGAGACCCATAACAGATCCTGCAAGTATAACAATAGAGACCCATAACAGATCCTGCAAGTATAACAATAGAGACCCATAACAGATCCTGCAAGTATAACAATAGAGACCCATAACAGATCCTGCAAGTATAACAATAGAGACCCATAACAGATCCTGCAAGTATAACAATAGAGACCCATAACAGATCCTGCAAGTATAACAATAGAGACCCATAACAGATCCTGCAAGTATAACAATAGAGACCCATAACAGATCCTGCAAGTATAACAATAGAGACCCATAACAGATCATGCAAGTATAACAATAGAGACCCATAACAGATCATGCAAGTATAACAATAGAGACCCATAACAGATCCTGCAAGTATAACAATAGAGACCCATAACAGATCCTGCAAGTATAACAATAGAGACCCATAACAGATCCTGCAAGTATAACAATAGAGACCCATAACAGATCCTGCAAGTATAACAATAGAGATCCGTAACAGATGCTGGTTGTATAACAATGAAGACCCATAACAAATGCTGTCTATAAAATATTAGAGACCCATAACAGATCCTGCAAGTCTAAAAATAGAGATCCAAAACAGATGCTGGTATTAAAACAATGGAGACCCATGCGAACCAACTGAGAAACAGTTGAGAAGAAAGTTTACCTGTCGTGGTAAAGGTAAATTAATGACGTATCTACCTGTTTCATATTAGAATGACGAGAAACATTTTCAGGATTTTCCGCCTCAGCGGTCCATCCTTACTGACATTTAGGTTGTGTTTGTAATGTCAGGTGACATTTAGGTTTGTGTTTGTAATTTCAGCTGACATTTAGGTTTGTGTTTTTAATGTCAGCTGACATTTAGGTTTGTGTTTGTAATGTCAGCTGACATTTAGGTTTGTATTTGTAATGTCAGCTGACATTTAGGTTTGTGTTTGTAATGTCAGCTGACGTTTAGGTTTGTGTTTGTAATGTCAGCTGACATTTAGGTTTGTGTTTGTAACGTCAGCTGACATTTAGGTTTGTGTTTTTAATGTCAGCTGACATTTAGGTTTGTGTTTGTAACGTCAGCTGACGTTTAGGTTTGTGTTTGTAATGGATGTTCTAGCTGACACACTTACAATATAGTTGGCCTCTTAGAGCAAAAGCCACAACAGGGATAGGTCCACATTGTACAGCCACGACTGGGATAGGTCCACATTGTACAGCCATAGCTGGGATAGGTCCACACTGTACAGCCAAAACTGTAATAGGTCCACACTGTACAGCCAAAACTGGGATAGGTCCACACTGTACAGCCAAGACTGGGATAGGTCCACACTGTACAGCCACTACTGGGATAGGCCCACATTGTACAGCCCAAACTGGGATAGGTACATACTGTACTACCAAAATTTGGGATAGGTCCACACTGTACAGCCGCGACTGGGATAGGTCCACACTGTACAGCCAAGACTGGGATAGGTCCACACTGTACTACCAAAATTTGGGATAGGTCGACACTGTACTACCAAAATTTGGGATAGGTCCACATTGTACAGCCAAAACTGGGATAGTTTCACACTGTACAGCTATAACTGAGATAGGTCCACACTGTACAGCCAAAACTGGGATAGGTCCACACTGTACAGCCAAGACTGGGATAGGTCCACACTGTACAGCCACGACTGGGATAGGTCCACATTGTACAGCCCAAACTGGGATAGGTCCATACTGTACTACCAAAATTTGGGATAGGTCTACACTGTACAGCCGCGACTGGGATAGGTCCACACTGTACAGCCAAGACTGGAATAGGTCCACACTGTACTACCAAAATTTGGGATAGGTCGACACTGTACTACCAAAATTTGGGATAGGTCCACATTGTACAGCCAAAACTGGGATAGTTTCACACTGTACTACCAAAATTTGGGATAGGTCCACACTGTACAGCCACGACTAGGATAGGTCCACACTGTCTATCTAATAATATTACACTCGATTAGTGCATACTATTATTTTACTATAGTAACAGCTAACTGTAATATATATATATATACACATTACAGTTAGCTGCTATTATAGTAAAGTAATAGTATGCACTAATGGTGCAAGGGACTAGCAATAATATATGTATATACACGGGATTAGCAATAATATATTTGTGTACAAGGGACTAACAATAATATATGTATATATACTTTACACAGGAGCTCCATGCAACATGAAGTTGGCAGATCAGCGGCTGCTGAGCACAAGAGACATGCCAGGAAGGCCCGGTCTGACTCTGCTCCCGTAGATGCGCCATCATTCCCCTGCACATACTGCACAAGAGAATTTCGTGCCAGAATCGGCCTCATTAGCCAGCTGCGCACCCACAGACAGAACCAGCACAAACTCTGATGATTAAAGTGGTCATGGTCGACTATATATATATATA